AACACTTCTACTCTCCTGCACATTTGTGACATAATACACACACACCAGGGAAGTGGGGGGGGGGAGCATTCAGTCTGATTTAATTTGTTGGCCTTCAGCAAGGTCTCCCATTGCAGACAAGACTAGAGACTTTACAACAGAAAAGATTTAAATCAAGGAGAGATTGTCGGGTCCTGGCTATTTTAGAATGTTTGGTGGTGTCTGTAGAGCTAAGTGTGCTTTTTTTCATATGATTAAGAGCATTTTCTCCTCCTACGGTTGCAAGCACAATCATAAATTGCTTTTTTGACATGCCCAAAAAGAAGAGGGGGGGTCCTACTCCTTGAATAGCAGTGAATTTCAGCAAGTGAAACTTGCATGACAAGCCTGCTTCTGCTGCAATTCCCCTTTCTGCACAACTATTAATGAGGCAAGAGCCTTGCCGTCTTCTTTTTGTCTGGCCACCCTGGTTGTATCTGGTCTACCTGACTGACTGTGACTGCCAGAGCTGCTCTAAATTGAACTAAGTGATTTATCCTATGGAGACAAAGCTGCTGAGCCCAGCATGAGCACTGACCCTGGACCCCAGAGGCCTCACCTTCAATCTTCCTTGGGATGCCTTTTAACCTGCATTCAGTCAGTAAGAGGGCCGCCGGCTCTCCATTTCCTTTGAGTTATGGAGCTAATTACCAACCAGGCAGCTCTAGGGATGCACACAGGTTAACACACATATATCAAAGTAATTGCTAGGGAGAGCCAACAAAGCAGTCGTTTACTCATATTAAAGCAGGAAGAGAGTGGAGGACAGGGACAGAATCATTTCTGGAAGGTCATCATCATCATCATCACCACCACCACCACCTTCAACATCATAGAATTCTCAACACTTTAAGGGAAATTGGGGGATCCCAGTTGCAAAAGGTCTAACAGGGCTATAGTACTAGGAAATTCCTGGGCCAGGCTGCTGGCAAAAAGTATATCCATTGAATAAAGTCTCCTCTAAATGAAATCCTACCTATCTGAATGGCAGGACATTCCGCATAACCTTGTAAACCTTAAGGAGGGCCATCCAAAAGAATAAGGGGAAGCATAGCTGTTCTTCAAAGTTTTAATCTGTTGTAGTTTAACTCATGGGGGGGCTACTATTGAGATTTAAAAAAAACAAATCAACAACTATAGGCATAAAGTTTAATTCTGCATATCTTGTAGAATTGTTGTCCCTGGATGTACATTGATTTTGTGTTTCATTCCCTCCTAACAACCACAAACTATCAGTTTTCAGCAGCTGGTCTTGCTTCTTTTTGAGCTCCCATGATGGTAGAATTCAAAGGCATAACTGTGTCAGTCTTGAAAAACACTATGCAAAGGTATCTTGTAGCACCTTTGAGACTAACCGAAAGAAAGAAGCTGGTAGCTTGAGCTTTCATAGACTTGAGTCTACTTCCTCAGATGCATGGTGGAATGGGGAATCCAGAGAAAGACCAATGTATAGTTGTAGTGTGTGAGAATGTCAATTGGAATTCAAAACCTTGTGGGTATAGAGATGAGGTGGCAAGTTCAGTTTTAATGATGACCATTGGGGGACAAAGGCAGGAGGAAGAATGTTGCCTAAAGCTAGCTCAGAGTTTGGAAGGAAATTGGGGATTCACTGATACTGTTGTTGTGTGCCTCCAAGTAATTTTTGGCTTATGGCAACCCTAAACAAACTAATTATAGGATTTTCTTGGCATGTTTATTTAGAGGGGGTTTACCATTGCAAATGAGAGTATGTCACTTGCCACTAGACTTACAGTGTTTGAAAAGTAGCCTTTGCCATCACTTCTTGTGATATTAAAAAGTTAACTCCTTGACCAAGATCTTGCATTGGAAGAGGTATCTACAGAGATGTAACTATAACTCTACAGCTGCATCACTCTACGCTGCCCCAAAACATAGCTTTTCAGCAGTGCAGAGTTCCCAAACACCTCCCTTTCTGTGTTGCTGGAAAGTGAGGGGATGAGTGGAGATATGTCCAGCTCTTTTCCTGCAGCTGGATGTTCCATGACAGCCACTGAAGGGACCTCTTAACTGCTGAAATGGGAGGTTTGGAGGGTACTTATGGTCACTGCATGCTCAATGACTGTGAAATGTTATGGTGTAAGACAGACTTACAACATAGTAATTACTGAACAGGATTGTTATTGTTAACTGCCATCAAGTCGACTGCAACTTATGGTGATTCTGTTAATGAGAAACCTCTCAGTCACCATATCATCAACTGCCCTAAGGATTGGTAAAACCTGGAAAATTCCTCACAAAAGACAAGTAACCTTTGAAACTAATCAGAAAACTTTGTTACAATGTAACTTCACTCATACTCATTATTTAATTTTGAAGTTGCAACATTGTTGCTACCTTATTACCCCAAAAGTAACTAGATGCAGGTAACAAGATTGTTTGTAATTCAGCACATTTGAGCTCCACTCCAGCTGGTGAACCCCAAATTATGTACAGCCGACCTTCCATATCCATGGATTTTTTAGCCATAGATTCAACCATCTGAAGCTTGAAAATGTTTTTTAAAATACATAATTTCCAAAAAGAAAACCTGGATTTTACCATTTTATATTTGTTAACTGACCTCGAGTCGATCTCAACCCATGGCAACCCTATGGATGAGACATCTCCAAGACCCTCTGTCTTCCACTGCTCTAATTAAATCCTGCAACTCCTTAATACCTGTGCCCTCCTTAATAGAGTCCATCCATCTGGCATGTGGTCTTCATCTCTTCCTACTTCCCTCCTCTTTCCCCAACATTAGCGTCTTTTCCAATGAGTCCTCTCTTCTCATGATGTGTCCGAAGAACAACAGCCTCAGTTTGGTCATCTTGGCTTCCAGGGAAGTTTCCGGCTTGGTCTGCTCTAGGACCCATTTGTTTGTGTTTTTGGCTGTCCATGGGATCCTCACCACTCTTCTCCAGCACCACATGTCAATGAATTCATTTTCTTCCTATCATCTTTCTTAACTGTCCATTTTATATAGGGAACACCATTTTACTAGACCATCGTATATAATGAGACTAGAGCATCCATGGATTTTGCTATCCTAGGGGGGTCCTGGAACCAAATCCCAGTGGATACTAAGGGCCTACTGTACATGAAACACAGTTCACACCCAAGTGTTTTGAACATCAAGGCCTGAAATGGAGGACTAGTGTGACTCCACTCTGTATTTTTCCTAGTTACAGACCCTTTTTCATATTCAGTACTATGAAATGGAATGAAAGGTGCTCCCCTTTAAAAGAGAGGATAAGCGGAGGCAACGGAGGCAACGGAGGCAAGGACAGGGAAAGGAACTATCCAATGAGGGAATAAAGTCTCACACACACCCGTCCTGGCTGCTGCTGCATACAACAAGATTCAGGATTAGTGGTGGCAAAATATAATCACAGCAAAGGTATTCCATGATTTGTGAGAAGCCCATAAATGCTGGGATCCTCTAATGGTAATATCCTAACCATAATCCTGACTCCTGGGACTCTTTAACACTGCACAATTATAGGATATACAATTCACTATAACTGCCATGGTACGTTCCTATCGAATTGTGAGATTTGCAGTCTAGAATTTTCAACCAAAGCACTCACCAAACTAGTCCCTCACCAAACTAGAAACCACAGGATTGCATAGGATGCTGCCATGGCAGTTAAGCTGGAATATACTGTGCAGTGTGAAATGACTTCTGGCTTCAGTGATGGTTGTACTGAATAAATACTTGCATAAGGAGATCCCTGTATGAAACCTGTTCCCCTGTTCTCTCACAGCACAAAGGAACAACTCCTCCCATACATTCACCAGTTAGAATAGTCACTAGCATCTCTCTCCAGAACAGCATTAAACAGGATCTAGGCTTTCATGTGCCAACTATACTAGGAAACAGGTTTCCTGATAATTCTGCCTTGAAAGTTGTTTCACCCAGAGTTTGGTGGGGAACTATTTTAACAGTCATACTGGGTAGGGTTTTTTTACAACAAAAATGAATCTGCCTGTGACCTATATTGTCATCATCACTTGCCCATCAAATCCTCTCATGTTTATTCATAAGCTCTGTTTTATGATAGTTGGATTCCCCCAAAGTATCATATGGCCTCTGTACTTTTAAAACCAAACGCTAGATTTATATTTAAATAATTTTCCAACAGAGTTTCCTCAGACAGAGGCCAATCACCTTTGAGGCAAAAGAAAGTTACTTGCTCTTAAATTATTCTCCCCTAGCACTTTTTGTTTGTTTGTAGTGTTACAAGGTTAAAGTCCCTTTCAATAGTAGGCATTTATACGCATTGCTATTCCAGGCATTTAAAATATATAGACTTTCATAGCATACTGGTCTTGAATAAAACCCTTTGTGGAGGGAAAAAGTCACGAAGTTCTATGGAGGTAAATGAATATGACACCCCTCCCCCAAAAAAAGTATTTTGCCAATTTCTTCTGAGGCATAACAGAAGAGCTGTGATCTCATTACATATGAATTAAGTGACTTGACTAAGATCATGCCATATCTACAACAGAATAAAAACAAAAGTGCCTTATTTTCCTGTGTATAAGACTACTTTTTAACCTGCAAAATCTGTGGTTAAAGTGGGGGGGTCATCTTATACACCGGGTATAAGGATAAGGAGGATAGAGGTGCTAAAACTCTATATTTTGACTGGAAAAATGGGAGGTCATCTTATACACCGGGAAATACAGTAAGCTGTTTGTTATTGCATGTCAGACTTCCTCTTTGCATTGGAACAGATTCCCCTAATGCTGTATCCAGATAACAATGATTGGATAAGCTGCCCAAAATTTCCCTTTCCCTATAGCTCCATCGCTGCTGCTGTTCTTATTGTGTGCCTCCAAGCCATTTTTGACTTAAGATGGCATAAGGCAAACCTATCAAAGGGTTTTTCCTGACAAGTTACTTCAGAGGGGTTTGCCATTGCCATCCTCTGAGGATGAGAGTGTGTGACCTGCCCAAGGTCACCTGGTGGGTTTTTATGCTCGAGCCAGGAATCGAACCCTGATCTTCAGAGTCAAAGTCCAACACTCAAACCGCTACACCACACTGGATTTCATAGCACTGATCATTCATCAAGAATTCTGGTCAATGTCTTGGGCAATGTTTTTTGTTTGTTCGTTTGTTTGTACAACCCCCCTGTAGAATCCTAATCCCCTATAGAATCAGTTATGTCTAATCCTATTGAAATGAATGGATGTATCAGTGCAGGCGCTCTGCTACAGAGAATGAAGCTGTGGAATACATGTTAGCCTTCTTGGTGATGAAGCTGCACCATTTGCTTTGGGGGCTTGTCCTGGAAAAGGAGGTGCTGCTCCACTCTAGGCCTACTCAAAGGGAACAGGATCCTTCACTTAGTGGCAAGTTTCCCCTTATGATAACAAGTTAATGATGTTGAAGAAACCCATTACTACCTCCTGAGGGAGCCAGTGAAAGCTTCAGAGCATGTCTTCTTGTACGAGCTGAGAAAAGCCAGCCAGCAGCTTATGGGCTACCAGAGAAATGTGAAATTACAGCCATTGAGGGAAAGAAGGGGTTTGAACCTACAAGTAGGCAAATCAGCCATCCCTGAGAAGGTAGCTAAGGATCTGTCTCTGTATATTTCAAATTAAAATTGAATTTAGAAACTAACTCTCCACTGGAGGAGATTGTGTGTTGTCCCTGGTGCCCTGAATTCAGAGATCAGTTAAATCCGTTAAAGGTTTGGATGCCAATTCCTGGATGGACAAAGGAAAAATTTTATCCAGCCTTGCTTAACAGACTGGGATTAAAGTACTTATTGTAAAGGACACTCAAAATGTCAGGAAGCTCTACAGCCAAGTTTCTAAATGATACAATGCTGCTTTGATTAGCTTGGAAGAAATTTGATTAAAAAGTTGTACTCCCGGGTTTTTCAAGCAGGGTTCCCTGAAACCCAAGGTTTTATGAGAGGTCACTAGAGGTTCCAAGAGAAACAACAACTGAGCTATAGATATAACAATTTTTATGCAAGGGTTCTCTGGGACCTAAACATTATTTCAAGGGTTCCTCTAGGACAGAGGTCGGCAACAGAACGCAGGCACCATTTTGGAAAGCCCAACGGTGCTGTGCACATGCACCATTTTGGAAGATGAGCACAGGCGCCATTTTGGAAGGCCCAACGGCACCATGTGCATGCGCACGGCGCCATTGGGCCTTCCAAAATGGCGCCCCCCATGCACGCATGTGCACGATGGCGGGCATCATGCACATGCACGCGGGGGGGAAGTGTGCACAAGCGCGAGCACACCCGCCTGCCCCCCACGCCATTTCCCCCCCCAGTCCCCCGGCAACAAATGTTGCTGACCCCTGCTCTAGGATCTCAATACCCTAAAGGCATCAGATCCCCTCTGATCTTGGAAGCTAAGCAGGGCCAGCCCCGGTTAGTACTTGGATTAAGACTGCCAACAAATACTTGGTGTTGTAGGCAATATTTCAGAGGAAGGAACTGGCAAAACCACCTCTTGAGTATTCCTTGCCTAAGAAAACCCTATGAAATTCATGGGGTCACCATAAGTCAACAGGCAACCTGAAGGCACACACACAAGTTAAAGCTTTCCCCAAATATCTAACCCAGGGACAGGGAATGTGTGGCTCCTGAGATTACTATAATGTGCTCTACACGGGGCTGCCTTTTAAATATTTTAAAGTGCTCAGAAACTTCAGTTGGCCCCAAGAGCTGCAGCCAGGTTGTTAACACAGGGAACATACAACTCTCTTGTTGCAACAGCTCCATTGGCTGCTGGTCCATTTATAGGCACAAGTCAAAATTCTAGATTTCAACTGCAAAGCCCTATACCGCTTGGGTCCAGGTTATTTGAAGGATTGTATTTCCTTTTATCAGCCCATTAGAGTTCTAAGATCATCTAGACAGGTCCTTCTCTTTAGCCCACCACCCTTTAGGCTTTTTTGGTGGGAACAAGAGGGAGGGCCTTCTCAGTGGCTGCTCCCAGACTTTGGCCCTCCCTCCCTAGAGAGGCCAACATTCAAACTGCTATATCATACTGGCTCTCCAAGTGAACTGGGGAAAGACACAAAACTCAATTAGCTGGAGTTCTCTTTGCAAGACAAGGCTAACTGGCTTTGTGCACAATGAACAAAGGGAGTTGTGATATCAGCATTGGGTGTCACAGAGGCTTCACATATTATGAAGAAGAGTCATCAATGGCTAAAAATACCAGGAATATTCTGGCTTTTGTTGTTCTTTTATAATGGAAATGGTTTTACATTAACACTGTTACTAATAAGTGAATATATGCATAATGATAATGATGACGTTAGGGCTGAGATAGCAAAGAAACCCTCTTGTTCTCTTCATACCAGAACAAAATCCATTTAAAAATCACAGTTGACTAATCATCTTGCCTTTAATTAATTTAACCAATCATATTTAAATAAATGTGCATATTATTCAAACTTCCTTGTGCTTTAGCACATGCCAGGATCAAAAATGCTTCCAAAAAGCAGAATTGGAAGGGGGAAGGAAAGAGAGATAGCTTTATCTTGGTCTGAACAACCCTTCTCCCATATGCCCTGATTCGTTGGTTCTGTCTTTACCAGAATATCACTTCCTTAAAGGAAAAATCTCTTGTCAATCTGCTTGAGTTTTATGTTCCTCTTCTGTTTCAAATCGAGCCTCCAACTATCTACCGACTCCCCCTTCACTAGAAAGCCTGCTATTTAACAAGAAAGCCCCATCTAAGAGTAAAACTCCATGCAATTAAAAGAAAAGCATTTTGCACTACATCCCCTTGAAATCTCATTTGGTACAGGAGGCAGGTGGTGACCTGTTTACTAGGAAGGAGGTGAAAAGAAGAACTGCAGAGTGAAAGAAGGCTACCCCCCCCCTCATTCCTTTCTTCCTCTCTTCTGACTTCACATTTAGCAGTGCTGAGGAAGAGGCCAAAAAGCAGAAGGAACTGGCAGTTACCCAAAAGGATGACACAGGGCAAAGGAAATGACCTTTGGGTATCTCTTGGAACATACTCTTCAAGCAGTGTTGAACTTAGGTGATTTTATATTCAGGGTGGGGTTGCCATTATTCTCTTCCACAAACTGGGACAAAATATAGGGGGGAAATGTAGGACATTTGAGAAAAATGGAGGACATGACCAACTAAAAACCAAAAACATCACCAAAATAAAAAATAATGTAACATTAAATATAAATATAATAAAACATTAATATATATATATATAATATAAACCTTGGGGCTAGATCTCCTTGGGATTGGGATCTCCTGGACCTTCCCATGGCTTGACTGGCTGGCCGAGGCCCAACACAGCCATGCCAGGGAGGCCTTGCCCCCTGGATGTCTTTGGGGCTTGTTTGGCTGGCTGGCCAAGGCTGGCCACTACCTCCTAGGAAAGAGAGGCGGGGGAGAGGCAAGGAGCCAGGAGCCAGGACATGATCCTAAAACTGGGTCAGGACATTCAAAGACTCTGAAAAATCAGGATTGTCCCACCCAAAAATCAGGATATGGGAACCTTAACTCAGGGTTTTCTTACATCCCACACCCCACCCTTCTTTAGGTGGCAATGCACATTAGTTCACTGATCAAACAGTGAGAAACCCACTTCTCTATGGCAGGGTTGCCAAGTTAGATATGAGAATAGGGCTTCTTTGACTTTAATCCCTATCAGATCATGGAGCAGACTGCATAAAACTCTGCAAAGGACACAAAGCAGGTTTATGAGACATCATAAAGCCCTGTAAAGGAGGAGGAAGGCACCTATCCTCCATCACCTTCCAAACCCAACACAGCCATCCCCTCCCCGCATGGGAGGAGTTTCCTTGTACAAGGAGGGACATGGGGCTGGAGAGGTAATAGTCATGGAGTCAATAGTATGCTGGGAGGACAGGGGGTGTAGTAGACAAACTAACTCCTCTTCAGGAACACAAGCCTTCAGCAGTTTCAGAAAAGCTTTATTCAGCAAGCAGAGATAATCACAGCATGTAGTTGTTGTCAGGACTGAAGAATTATTTCCCAGTTACACAGTATACTTTGAATTTGCCTGTTACAAAAACCTTCACCCCATTTGTCAGAAATTCAAAACGTATTGTCTTCCCAGGTCTTACTCCTCCTGCTTTTCTCTCCATAGCAAGCTATGGATTCCCACAAGAACAACCTTAGTAATTTGCAGCTCATACTTCCTTCCTTCGCATCTGCTCATTATCCCAGGCTGTGCCTGATAAACAATCTTTACATCTCCCAGCACCACCAACAAGATAATATATCCCATCATCCCGCATTTACACACATTTGCTCAAGCATAAGCATGACAGGGCCATGTCTAGACCATGATCCTGACAGTGATACTTGATGATGTTTTATGATGCCTTGTACTGCTTCATGATTTGCTAAATATTAAAGTTATAGGAGCCCCATCCCATATCCAACCTGGCAATCCTACAAGTGAGACCCTGGACCTTGCCTTTATTGGGTTCACCATCACTGCCATCCTGACCAGGACAGTGAAGAGCTGACAAAGGAGGCCTGGACTGCTTCTAGAGCAGCTACTTCATCCTGATGCCAGTTGAGTCACGTAAAGGCTTTGCCCATTCCAATCAGGGTGAGGAAAAGGACTGGGCCAGTGTCTGGTAGAATGACCCCCAGGCACCAGGTGAGTATCCTGGTGCATTACTTGATACTCACCATCCTGAATGGGAGGAATGAAGAGGATTTATCCTCTCCTCAAGATACCAGTGGAGTTTTCAGATGACTTTACTCCCCATCTTCTCTTTTTGGACTGAGGAAGAGGAATAGGAAGTGAAGCTGACTCCAAATGCGAAAATGTCCAGGATCTGGTGGGCCACACTCTACTCATGGGTCATAGGTTCCACATCTATGCCCTGAAAGGGGGAGAGCCCTGACCCCCCCCCACATCCATACCTACATCAACACTCATGTATAGAAATGGTTTTCTTTTGACCATCACATGCTGGCCAGATGCCAAGGGCAGAACTATCCCTAGAATCATAGAACTGGAAGGGTCAGCAATAGTCTTGCAATGATGACCACTGGAAATGGCATAAT